CGGTCGAGTTCGAAGATGAGAAGGATTGGCCGAGCCCTTCCTGAGTTATTGCAAAAATACTCATTTTTCCCTACACCTTCCCTATGGAAAGATCGACCCATCCCCACTTTCGTAAAAGACTTTTGCTCTCATAGTCAACTAAAACCCCAACTATTATATACCATTCGATAGAGAATTTTAAGAGCTACAAAATGGTATATAAAACATAAAGAAACAAGAAGGTTGACTCATCTATCACAAAGATAATTAAAGAGAACTAGGTTATATTTTTGTCCACGATCTAATTGATCCACAAATCGAGCTCTATCTTCCGATCACAGTGATGATACTTCTAGGTTTTCTGAGATGGAGAACTCGAATCTGTATTCCACTTCCATCGAAATACTATTGGTTGAGCAGTGACCAATAGAAATCAAGTTATAGGAAAAACGACTTTCTTAGGGTGAATCAAGGGGAAGAGTTCAAATTTGAGCTGTATTTCGGTCCCAAGTCCTATTGGTTTGGCAATACTCAATAGAAATCAACAGTTTAGAGGGTAGGTTCCCCAGTATAATTTTGATGTCCACACATTCTAGGATGGCTGATTCGTCTGATTCACTTTTTGAAGTACACATAACTCTCGGATTTAAATCCGAAGTTTCCGCATTTATATTAACATGTTTTTTGTGGTATATTAGTGAGCTGCAATACTGAATATCTTTTTGTGAGAATATCTAAAAAATAACTATAGAAGGACCCTAAACAATTGAAAGCGTAGAATATCGCAAAAATTGAAATGATCGAAAAAACCACCGATGCATACTTTTCCAGTTAAATTTGAAAAAACGTATTTTCTATATTTCAGTCAAAAGTGATATCTTTTAAAATTTTTTGCAAAGTTGGTCCGTACGAATAAAAATTTCTAGGTGATGTCTATCATACGAAGAAAAGAGAATTGATTTGTTTTGACAAATAAAGAAGTTATAAGAATTTACTTTCCTGCGCGACTTTTGGGACACTCTGAAATTGTCGAAATTTCTTTGGTAATCTTTGATTAATGTTCTTATTTTAATGAATTTGCCAAATTTTGTGTTGGTGAGATGAAATTTCTGGAATTGCTGGAATTTACTGTGTAATTGCCAGTAATCTTCAAAACTGATATACCTAAATAGCGTAACTTTACAAAATACGCTACAAGGATGAACAATGGAGCTTTTGAAACTATGTTTTTGTTGCAGTTTAATTTCTGAAATTGCTGTTATTTCTTATCACCGTACTATTTGTAAAAGCGGAAACTTACCAAATTTCAGAAAAGGATTTTTTTCCGGAAATCTGAACATACTTCTATTTCTTGTCATTAAATGCATGCTAATTTTTATTAAGAATAACAATGGTTTACCTGTCCATGGGACTAAACCCATTAGTGCTGGTGTTAATATGAAGTCTTCGAAATTCGTGGAAGAAATATACTCGGATTATTACCAGCAATATGTAAAAGATTATGTAAGCATTTAATATTAGTGAGTATTTACAGATTATATTGATCGAGTCGTTACATTAGATTACAACAGAAAAAAAAGAAGAAACACGTCAGCCACCCATATCCTCGTCTAACACAAATAGCAATGAAACTATGAACCGGTTCGGCAAAAACAAGATCGAAAAACTTTATCTGTGGTTTTTATTCATGAATCGACCAAAAATGGCCAAATTTCTTTGCTCGAGATGTCAGGTAAGACATAGACTGTGTTCACTTTCAATTTATTATCATATTGAATCTTCTTTCAATGCATACCGTATGTTCACTATCAGGATCAGACAGTTGCCTCTCTTCTCGCAGTCGCAATTTATTCCAAGGCAGCGAAGAAAGATAGGGAAAATAAAGATACTTTGAAACAAGTTGCAGAGTGAGTAAATTGCATTCACATCTATTTGACATATTATGTTGCATGCATGTTTTATTTACTTATTGATGAAAACAGCGAGTTCGATGAACATGCGAAAGGCATCATAGACGAATGTTTCGTTAAAGACAATAGCCTTGCTATCAATATAATCAATGGCAAAGCCACGGCATTCGACGATTGCATTCCGTTGAAGATAGCACAACGTGCTGACTGCGAAGCTTTTCTCGCCAGTGACACTGTCCAAAAACATCTCGATCAAAAGTGGTACCATGAATTCGACTATCAACGCCAATTATTGAAAATGGATATCTCTATTTGGGTTTGTCAATCATATTTGTGGAAAAGTCTCATAACCTATTCAACACCTTATTTAGATCTTTCTTGCATCGTTGTTTTTGCCTCTCTTACCAATTGCATCTGTGCTTTGGCCTGAGCTCTACAAAGATTATTCTGCCAAGTCGAAAGTACTATGAATAAAAAACAATACTTTGCGAATGATTCTTGTATATTTTATCTTCGTATAGGAAACAAATAAACCAATGCAATATCGTTCGATGCTGTGCCCTCGGCGAACGTTAGTTCAAATTTTTTCTCAAGTTTCGATTTTTAATTTCAACGCACTTTTTACAGATCGGTAAACGAGAGGGCTTCAGGAAGGTCCTCTTCAAAAACGAGAAACAGGAATTCTTTTCAGAGTTGCAGAGAAGAATCGGATTATCCAAAGTGTCATGTGAGGCATAGAATTCAATGGTTTTACGAAGCACCCGTAGTACGATTTTACTATCATGTTGTAAGTGATTTTCCTCTATTACTCTGTTCTATTTTCTTAGACATTGTTGTTGCATTCCAAATTTAGACTTTCTTTTTCCTATTCCTGATTTTATTCAGTTATGTTCTTCTTGTTCACTATCTGCCATTGAATCGAGACAGGGGTGCGCGTTCCGGAATTCGAAATTTACCGATTCCAATCTCGGAAATCATGTTACACATTTATATGTTAAGTTTCATCATCGATGAAATCTATCAGGTAAGTCTTTAATCTCTCTTCGGAATAGATTTTTTCTACAATTTGTTTTTCTTCATTATTAGATTATTAGATCTAGAAAATGGATCCGTGGCTATTTCTCCGATGGTTGGAATCGAATGGATCTAGCAGGCATCATCTGTTATTTAATTGCATTCATCACTCGATTTTTTCTTGTCGAATCCATTTTTACAGCGTCAAAGTAAGATATTGCTTCTTGCTTTCTTGCAATTTTTTCAATTCAATGACATTCAACTGAAATAAAAAATCGTCACTATTAAGACTCAAAAAGACATCCATCGAGAGTCATTAAAGAGATATACATTTGCCGAATCTAATAGAGAGATAGTCTCAACTTGTAATTATTTTAGGAATGAGACTTCTTTTCTACGTATATTTTATAAGGGGTCATGAAATACCTTGAGAAAACTCATGCCTTTATCTTTTCTATTGATCATTGATAATAGACATGCATTTAAATATTATTAGTCGAGTGACAAAGAAGATAATGAAATTTCTGTTCATATGAAAATTGGTATATATCATGTATTTTCGAAAGAATTTTATCAAAAATTGTATCCTTTCGAAAGTTGACAAACTGAACAGTCTTTGAATATGAAGTTGATGACGCTCGGGCAGCCACTAACACCATGTTACATAAATCAATCAAAGTCGTCTCACAGTAACCATCGGCAGCAGTTTGAGTTGTTCTAACCAGGTCTATCCATGTAGATCGTTGTTTTAGTTTGCTGATTAGAGAATAAGTTTGACTTTTTCACACTGAATAAAAAGCAACATCCGAGGAGGTGATTATTTTGAATTGAAAACTAAAATCTCGCTTATGTAGAAAAAATTCTGACAGCAGTGAAAGACTTGCAGATGGTCGAACTTTAGATTCCTTCTTGTATTTAATTTCAACAATTTATAGTGAATTCTAGGCATTTATCTTTTACTTTTGTGGCAGAAATGTCATGTATTATCGTTGTTTCTTAGACGTGATAGCAAGTATAATTCTTTTGCTTGTTTTATGGTAAAGCCTCATTTTGGTCGAAAGATATGTTTTATCAAATTGATGTTGGGAATGCGCTGTCATTAATTAAGTCGCATCTAGATCTTGTAAGAACAAGTTATACCAAGAAGATGTAGAATAGTCAATAATGTTCTGCTGAAACAATCTCTGAGCTTGAGTGTTCGACAATAATTTACAATCTTTCAGTTGGCGGTCAAATGAATTGACATCTGAAAAACACTACTTGTTACCGACCACCAATCAGTATAGAAAGTCTTAGTCAGCGTCCTAACGATAACAATAATAGGTCGACTGCCACATCCACACTCACAAGGGAAATCAGATGACTTGACACCACTTCAAAGTCAGTCCAAAACGACTGTCGAAGTCCGTTTATTTGAAGTGACTCTCAATTATTTCTGTTGATTTTTCGTTTAGTAAACATCACTGAAAGTTAGTTAAAAGCAGCAAAAATCATGAAAATCCGATATTGCTCGCTGTTGTCCCCTAAAATCATATCTTTGTTTAAGCAGTTGAGCTACTGAATATGTACAAATTTCCTTCAATATGAGTCAAAATAATGTACTTACGGCATATGAATACAACATAAAATCTGTACGCACCATTTCTACAAAATGAAAATGTGAGATACGATAGAATCATTTTAATAGTGGTCAAAGTCACCAGTTTAGTCATGAAAACGATAATATCGAAACATGATGAACTAATGTCTTCAATCGTATGGGCGAAGAAAATAATGATGAATAAAATGCATTCTAATCTGATTTTCATTTAGAATATTCATGTCAATTGATTTTATTATTTGGTGCTTACGAATACTGTATTTCTGCATCATGTACCAAGTGCTGGGACCAAAACTGGTGATGATCTATAAAATGGTGAGCATGTCACATATCAAAATGATATTCAATTTTCTTATTACCTCTCCCTATAGATGAAAGATACGTTTTTGATTTTTGTGTGTTTCATGCTTGTTTTTCTCCTCGCATTTTCAATTACTTCCTGGTCTCTGCTGTCTACCAAGAATCAAATTACTTGGTTGTATGCAACCGATGGCTCGATGATCAACGTTACTGTAGCGAATGAAGGTGGAATACTGTGGAATTGGCAACTATTGCGAGATGTATTCGATTGGGGCATTTGGAAAATATTCGGACAAGTAGCCGAACCATATAAAAATAATGCTACCGATATGGATGTAGTTAGCGGTATGAACACATATGTTTTTACTATTGGAGAATAAAACATTCATTCCTATTATCTTTAGAAAATGATGCTTATGGCACATTTGTTTTCTTATATACAGTTGCTTTCGTAGTAATATCAAATGTACTTCTTTTGAACATTCTTATCGCGATGTTTAAGTGAGTGCAGAATAAATAGAAGATATTCGGTTTTTTAAATAATGTTGGTTCGGTACTATGTAGTGAGACAATTGGACGTGTACTTACACAATCACGTATAATATGGCGGCATCAGCGATTCTGGTTGGTTGATGAATTCAGTAAAAAAGTCGTGTTACCTCCTCCGTTAAGCATTATCTACCATCTACTACGCTTCATTAGTTATCTATTGTGCCGCAAAACATATAAGAGCTGCTTTGAGGACATCTCTGGTAAAATTAAACATACTTTTGTGATTTGGTAGTCATTCATCCACTTTAGATGAACCATCTAAGAACAATATCGAAAAAAACTTCTATCAGATGAATATTGAAAAAGAATACGCTGAAATGTACTGGAAATCTAAGGTATTCATCAAAGGTATTCAGCCATCAACTGAAGTAGCTTTCCAAGATTTGAAGACAAAGTAAACTATGCATTGAGCCAGGCTTCGATATTCAATCAATTATTTATTCATTTCATTCTTTTTTTTGCAGAGTCAACAAAGGCAACGATCTCCTACTAGAAGATTTGCAAAAAGTTAAGGTAAAATATTCATTTTGTCATTTGATCATGTGATAGCCAATATGAATGTGTAGATCACGTGTCAATAGCAACTCTCAGAAATAATACTGCAACCTATTTAGATAAAAAAAGTTTTTCTAGAAATCTTAAACATGAAATCATGATTGCCGCATTTCCATCTAAACTTCCAATGATTCTACTCGAATTTGACCAGAATCTGAAGCCATTGAAAAAAATTTAGTGGTTTACCCAAATATTCATGAAAGTGATAGAGCAATTACAGTTTTGCAATAATTTAATGAAATACAATAGTTCTTGTGAGATTGATAGTTGAATTGAACAACTAGACAGTCATGAATGAGACGTGTGCAAGTCCGGTCTAGATCCAGTCCTTGTAAACTCAAGTCTAGAAAAACTTTTGTTCGTCCACATTCTAGCAGTAGATAGCAAAAAATCTGTAGTTTGCTTTACATATAGATGTGACGCATGAATAGACGATGGGTCTGAATTATGATTAGGGTCGTATATATTGGATACTGGGCAATGGATTATTTTTTCACTTCAAATTTTGTTTCTTTCTTCATTGAGTACATTAGGGTAATGGGATTTGATCATTTGAGTAGGGATGCACAAATTTCAATTCTTGGAATCGATTGAAATCTGAACTCAGATTGACTTTGACTTATCAGCGAAGATTCCTCATATGCTACGCATTGATACATGTCGTGCATTGCCACATGTGAAACTTCTCAACACTAGAAGAAATCTAAAAGAGCTTATCTCTATAAATTACTCCTCAATTTCTCATTGTTTTACGAGTTTTTTGGCCACCAGCGAGTCAATTATGAAGAAGTCGAATTAGAACATGTTTAACTGAGAGAATATGCAAGGGCGGACCGGCATCAAAATTTTTAATGTGGCAATTGCTAGAAAAATCGTTTTGCTGATCGATTTTTGCCCACCTATCGGTTATTTCAAATATTTTTGGTGTCGCAATTGCTACACCTTGCCACGCTGACGGCCTGCCGCTGCATATATGTATGCTGCTAATAATTTTTTTAGGTGTGGCAATTGCCACTAATTGTCAGCTGGTGGCCCGCCGATGATAATATGCGAAATCTTATGTAATTGGTTGTAAAAAAGTGTAACTCTAATTTTATTTGTTAAGAATTGAAAACTACATGCTCAACGTTTTTTATAACTTGTCTTTTGTACTTCGTTACAGTTCATTTTCTTGAGCTTGTCGTCCTGATTAATCATTATAGGAAACTTTTCACGTTTGTTCCACATCAAACATAGTATCATATGTAGGACTAGCTGTAAAAATCATGGATATCGTATTTGTTTGGAAAAGGTCCAATCGATCTTCCGATAGATTCAAATATTCTAAATACATAGTTTTGTACCGTGACAGCTTATGCATAAACATTTAAAGAGTTTTTAAAGTGGTTTCGTTCAATGCAAAAGAATTGTTTCTGCTAGTGCCAATAAGAATCTGTTAGAATTGCGCTTTTATTCGATTGCCAACCATGGAAAACCGTCTCAATTGTGATCCTTCTTCACCAAATCGGTCGATATCAAATTGAGAAAAATATGACCAAATTTTTTGAGTCAAATGAAGTTTTGTTGAAACTGTTTTATTCGATGAACTCTTTCTGCTGAACCAGCATGCAACACCAATTTGTTGACAATTAAAATTAGGATTATATTTTGTTACAACCAATTAAACAAACCTATCCATATCCTTTCAGGTCAATATTACATAAGTCGATTTTTGATGAATGACTTGTTAGTGGTCGAAAAACTCTGTAAAACAATGGGAAATCGAGAAAGCAATTTATAAAGGCATACTCTTTTACGCTTATTTTAGTTTCGAGGAGTTTCACATATGGCAAAGTACGACATAGATTAATCCATAGCATATGAGAATCTTCATTTATAAAGCAAAGCCAATAGTAATTTCGATTTCAATCAATTCCACGCAAAAATAAGAAGTGAAACTGGATGGCTCGACACTGATGCATCCATACCTCTGAGTGTTGTTGGAGCAACTTGTCAACGAGAAATCATCGACAGACTTATAGAAAAAGAGAATTTGTATTATTATTAGTGTTTGATTATACTTCCTATGTCTCAATTAAAGACCATATATTTCGAAATAATTAGCACCTAGTTAGTATTGGCTTCGTTGAACAAACATACAAGGATGAATTCATGAGAAGCGTACTACAATATAGAAGCTTTTTAAATAGATTCCAAACATTAGATGGTTTCTAAATCACTCATAGTTGACAGGAATAGTGTATACTCAACCTAAAGATTTATGTTTGTATCTAGAACTTCAAGATTCAGGCTTTTTTTCCAAAAGAACATCAATAGACGCTTGGAGGCTCTCACATTCTGGATAGTTTTTTACTAAATTTTGTTTAAAAAAGTTCCCACTATGGAGTAGATAGTTGGATAGGAAGTTAATAGAAGTTGTATAATACGCTGGAAAAAGATGCCACTTATCGATAATTTTCCGACATCTGAATCATATCTCAGAAACATGTAGATGTTGTGTATCTATATGTGAGGTTTTCAGATTGCATTGTCATAAAGCGAAAAGTTTGTTGCCTATAAAATTGTGTATTGACTAGAGGTCATGCATCGAACTGAGTAATAGAACTAGAACTTTTTGGTTTTCGATTCATTATGCGAGAAAAATATGAACATATAGTAAAAGCAATAAAGAAGATCAGCAGTCAATTTAACTTCATAAAAGTTGGATAATTATCAATTTCTTCAAAACTGTTTATATATATTCTTGAGGACTTTGAGATGCATTGGTTAATCGTTCCTTTGGTTAAACAAATCTCTTATATAAAGTCAACTTAGAACCTGATTTTATCTATCTGTGTGATTGATTGGGGTCTACTTCATAGCTGCTGTCCTTTGAAAGTTAGGATGAAAAATTGTACTGCAGATATTTGCTGGTATACTGTCACCGGTAAGATCCTGAACTCGATAATGACAAAAGTTAGTTAGATATGATGATGGAAATAGACGCGTCATTTTTTAAAATTCAACTTCATGTTAGGAAGCAAAAAGGCAATTATATTTGTTTGCTCTTCTTTAAAGAAGGTTTCACCTTTTCTTCTTATTTTAACAACCACTATAAGAAGTTCCATTTGCTTCAACAACAAATGTTAATCTTATATGTTTTACGATTGTGATACGAACGAAAGTGATCAGTTTTTTTTACTAAAAATTATGATCACGTTCGAAATGACTATGCATTAAAAGATGTGACTAGAGATCTGGTTCTTTTTTTTAATATTTTCTTCAAACAGAAATAGTTTAATCGTTACAACATTTAAAAATTTTAAGACAAAAGAAAAATTGTGAATCTGTTTTCATGAAAAACTAGATGGTATTCGAGCTTCGCTTTGAATACGAAATGCCCTGCGAAGCACGAATCTTTCGAATTTTCGAAAAAACGATATTTGTCAAAAAACGAGACTTCGATTTTCTAAACTGTGTTGGTCGCTATTCTGACTTAAATTAGCTACTCACTCTGTTAGATAGACACTTTTCTTCATCTTCATCAAACAGATGATCTCATCTGGACTCAGAATGAAAGCCGTCCATTATAAAATTCATCACTACAGAAACTCTACGAAAACGTATCGCTAGATTTCTATGAGTTGTTTTCTATTGATCAATTAATTATCTCAGTGATTCATTATCTACTATCAGCTGTAATTCGCAGCTGTTTGATATATAGCTACAGAAATTGGCGCCTAACTTTTCTTTTGAATTTTCATTTTAATTATCTCAAAAGTGAACTTTGTCAAAATCGTGATTTTGGAGATTGGATTATAGACGAAGTATAGGTTCTATCGATCATCTGACAAAAAAAGGTACGAGTTCGATCTCGATACTTGCACTTCGCGTTTGAACGAATATTTTCTGAATTTCCGTTCTCGAGATCATTCGAACAGAAAATGACCACTTTTATGCGTACGTCGAGTAAGTAAAACTAGATGGTATTCGAGTTTCGACTCGAATACGAAATGCGGTGCGAAGCACGAATCGAGAGAATCGAGGAAACGAGTTTCGAATCGAATACGAATAATCGCTCTAAATAACCATCGTAATTCGCTCTTGTCTTGTACAGTCTAACTTCTACGACAATTGGAAATGTTTCTGAGTCATTTTTGAATCAACAAAGAAATATTTTCATCAAACAACTGATCTAATTTAGATGCAACATAAAAAGCAGCCATTCTAAAATTCATTACTACAGGAACTCTATCAAAGCGCATTGACAGATTTTTTGAACTTGCTGTCCATTGATCGATTAATTATCTCAATGATTCATTATCTATGATCAGCTGTATTCACAGCTGTTTGATATATGACTAAAGAAATTGGCGCCTAACTTTTTTTTGAATTTTCGTTTTAATTATCTCTAAAGAA